CAGAGGCTCGGCGGGCTCGCTTCGGCCCGCTGGCTGGCCGCCAGCTAAGCAGGGCCTCGCTCGAGTTTTGGGCTTTTCGGGTTTAGGGTCTTGGTGGTTTAGGGTTTTGGGTTTTAGGGTTTGAGGGTTTAGGTTTTAGGGTTTAGGGTTTTGGGTTTTTTTGGGTTTAGGGTTCAGGGTTTAGGGTTTTGGGTTTTGGAGTTTTAGGGGTTTGGGTTTTTAGGGTTTTAGGGTTTAGGGTTTAGGGTTTCAGGGTTTAGGGTTTTGGTGTTTTGGGTTTTGGGGTTTTGGGTTTAGGATTTTAGGGTTTAGGGTTTTAGGGTTGAGGGTTTTGGGTTTTGGAGTTTTAAGGTTTCAGGGTTTTAGGGTTTCTGAGGGTTCCTTTAAGGGATACCACAAGGTTTCTGCAACAGTTGCTATAAGGGCTTAGGGTTTTAGGGTTCGGGGGTGTAGGGTTTTAGGGTGAAGGGTTCAGGTTTTGGGTTTAGGGTTTGGGGGTTTTAGGGTTTAGGGCTTTAGGGGTTTTAGGGCTTTAGGGTTTTAGGGGTTTAGAGTTCAGGGTTTTGGGGTCTAGGGGTTTAGGGTCTAGAGTTTAGGGTTCAGGGGTTCAGGGTTTGAGGGGCAGGGGTTTAGGGTTTTAGGGGTTTAGGGTCTGGGGTTCAGGGGTTTAGGGTTTAGGGTTTATAAGGGCTACCATAGGGTTTCTGCAAGGTTTCTTTTAGACTCGCTATAAGGGTTTAGGGTTTTAGGGTTGGTTTAATTTGACGTGTAGGGGTTGGGGTTTAAGGTTTTAGACCCTACTAACCCGCTAAACCCTAAACCCTAAACCCTAAGCCACTATTGTCGACTCGGCTTCCGCTCCAAGATGAAGCCTGAGACCGAAATCTTGCTCTCCTACGCCCCTTCCAGAGTAGGAGTGGGAGTGGTTATGGTGGTAATAGTAGTAGTAGTAGTAGTAGTAGTAGTAGTAGTAGCAGTAGTAGCAGTAGTAGTAGTAGTAGCAGCAGCAGCAGCAGGAGGAGGAGGAGGAGTAGTAGTAGGAGTAGTAGCAAAGCCCTGGATCAAGCAACAAAACTGTTGGACCCTAAACCCTAGACCCTAGCCTTAGAGCCTAAACCCTAGACCATAGAACCGGTAGGCTTGAATGTGAGCATTCGATATCGAAGCGAAGCATCACATCCAAAACCTTCCAACGTAAAGCACCGAATAACAAATGTACTTCGGGTACAGGGGTTGAGGGTTTATAGGGATTTGGGATTTATCGGGGTTGAGGGGTTTAGGGGTTAGGGCTTTAGAGTTTATTTAGGGTTTGGGGGTTTAGTAGGGGTTTAGTGCTTTAATGCAGCCCCAGAGTCTACATCCGAAAGTCCCGAAGCCTCATTAACCCTACGCCTTACTCCCCCAAAAACCATGTAAAGCGCTTCAAACCTTTTTCTAATTTCGCAGAGCCGGTCATTAAAATCCCTGTAAAACCCTATAAGCCCCCTTGCCTTGAACCCCTATCAAACCCGAAGCCTTAAACCCAAACAGCTGAAACCTCAAACCCTAAACCCAAACAGCTTAAACCATAGCCATAGACCTTAAACCCTAAGCCTCAAAACCCAACCCCTAAACCCAAACAGCTTAAACCATAAACCTAAAACCCTAAAAACTTAACCCCCCTAAGCCCTCAGCCCTAAACCGTAGCTCTTGAAGGTGCTGCAGCGACTCGAAGCTTGGGCCCTGACGGCGGTGAACGGCGGTCCTTACAATCCCGTGCTGGACCGGGCTTAGGGTTTTGGGCTTTGGGGATCATGGCGTGGAGCCCCAAAACTGATTCTGATTGCTAAGGCCCCTACATTAGATGAAGTAAAGCTTAGGGTTTTAGGTTTAGGGTTTGCATAGTATACGGTCATATGTGCGTTTGTTTTTGTTGTTGGGGGGGAGGGGTGTTTGGTAGGTTTTTACAGGGTTGTAGGTTTGATCGGGTGTGCAGGAGTCTATTGTGTTAAACCTATATGGGTCTAGGGTTTAGAGTACATAGGGGTTTTAGGTGGAGGGTACATGTGTGGGCTCGGTGTATGGTACATGAGGTGTCGGGTTTGGACGACGTGGGTTTGGGGAGCATGGGAGGATGCTCCGAGGTCCCGCTTCTGTTCTCCGATTGTGGTATCTTGGTACAGTCCCCATGTTTTTTTGCGGACCCTAAACCTAAACCCTAAACCCTAAACCCGACGGTAGCGTGCGAGAGCAATCGTGTAAAGCAGAACAGTACAAAACAGGCATGTAGTTGCAGTATCGGGCACAGCGTAGGCACTCAGCGGTAATCATGCTGCTTCCTGTCCGATGAAAAATTCGTTTGGGCTGGTTTTACTTCGGGGGACCGGAGAAGTCAGTTAACAGAGCAATATGTGGGCCTACAGTAGATGGGGTCACGGTCTATCGCGCCTACTTACAACGCCGCTGCATTCCAAATACACCTAGTAATGACGCTCGTAGTAACCGTCATACTCACAGATGCGATCATGAAGCTCGTCCTTCCAGATCGCATTCGTCTGCGGGTTAAGCACGGCAGAAGTGACAACTCAGGAGGATGCATTCTATTGTGACTAGCAGCAGTTTTAATAAGAATTGTTGTTGTAATTGTTAGTGATGACTGCGGTTGGTAAACATGCGATCAGGTTGACGATATGGTCGAGTCAAGCACCCAAACCCTGTCCCAAGAGCTCAGCGTGTAACTTAGAATCCTCCAGAATCGCCAATATTGATCATAATAATAAGTATACAGCCCATGCAGCCCAAAACCCTATTCTAAGGATGATGGCTCCTATGTTAGAGTTCCGAAGCCTCGCCAGGATTGGGTCAAACAGCAGAAGACGGAGTTCCCCTTCTTGTCCGAGCAGGTTGGCGGGAAAAGCGTCAGTTCCTGTCTCCATATCTTTTGCATACGGCTTTAATAACTAGAATGGGGCTTTGTGGCCCTTTCTACTATACTTATACTATACTTATTATAAGGAACCCCAAAAATGCACCAAACTTGTATTGGTAATTATTAAGGCCCCTGTATCAATTGCAGTTATCGTGGCAGCAATGCCAGCAATAATTGTCAATGCAGCCACCGTGGGATACTTGCAGCAGTAAGTTTCCGCACAGCTTCAGAGCTCAAAGTCTACCGGGCAGTAATCATGCTTTGGCTTTGTGACAATCTCAACAGTCGCAACGCTGCGTGCGTGCTACAGATTCGAGGTAGAGGTAGCAACGACATCAGTCGAAGATACAGGAACGGCAAATAAGTATGAAGCCAGTCGTCCTCGTCGTCGTCGTGAGGGGAGCGGCAGCAGCAGCAGTAGCGGCAGCAGCTGCAAGCATGAACCTTGCGGCATCAAGGCTTTACATGTCGAGAGAGAATAGCCCACCTCCCTGAATCCTTGGAACAGAAACTCAAGACTGGCACCTGGAACCGCCCTTAAACAACAAAACCTGAACCCTTAAGCCTAAACCCGGCATGAATCCGGAAGCCCTGCCCAGAATCCCTCAAACTGCACGCGAAGGCTAACAGCTGTCTTTTGCAGGGCCTTGAAGAATTAAGACAGAATATGTCAGCGTAGATCCCCGCACGGTGAACGACAACGCACCATGCGATTTTGGTGGACTTTGCGAGGATTTCGAAGGCAAAAAAAGGGCCAATGAATCGGAATTTGCAAGCGGACGAGGTCCAAGCGGGGCTGTGTGCATAGTGGGAAATGAGCGCCGACTATGCACCGCATGACAGCGAGAGCACCAATTTCCAGGGTGCGCTTGCAGGCGCACCATGTTGGCAGACTCGCCAATACCTCTTCTTGCACTTAACGTACACTCGGAAATCCCTGAACCACAGCACTCTTCCCCTTTACTCTACACCCTAAACCCTAAACCCTGAACCACGGCACTCTTCCCCTAAACTCTATAAACCTTCGTCGGAGGCCAAGAGCAAGAAGACTCCGGCTCGATCGGATCGCTTCCAGGCCCCCGGCTTACAGTTTTGCTTCAGGGTTCAGGTCTTTGGGATTTGGGGTTGAGGGTTCAGGGTTTAGGGATTTGGGGGCTTAAGGTTTACGTGATGAAGGGATTAAGGGCTTACAGTATTTTCTGACACACCAGCAATGGTCGTCGAGGCCCCAGAAGACTGCAACATAACTGGCGAACAAAATTAGGGTTTAGGGTTCAGGGTTTAGGGGACAGTAGTAGACATCCTTAAAAAGCTCTCCGATTCTTCTTCAAACTTTGCATCGCCCTAGAGGCATTCCGAAGCGCCCAGATTCGAAATACAATACCAGCTACAGCTTGCATCTGGGATAACAGAGTCGTACACAGAAGGAATCACATAGCATTCGCCTTGGTATCCGATATGAGATCCTACTATGGCATCGACGAGGGTCTTCGACAACGAACCAGGGCATTTCGTCTAATGTAGGGGCCTCAATAAATTACCAATACTATTTTGGGGGTTCCTTATTATACTTATAGTATAATGGCTCCCAAAACCTTATTCCAATTATCTAGGCGCCGATATTCAGCAATACTGACACAGAAGTCGTATGTGCCGTCCTCGGTCGTCTGCTCGAGGAGGTCAGTCTTCGGGACGCGTATTTGGCATGCGCCAGAATTCGTACGGTGATCTGTGACGGATTTGGTGAATGTATACCACCAACAAGTTAACAAGTGGTGTGTACACGTGTAGGTATACGTATGCAAGAATGGATAGATAGATAGATAGATAGATAGATAGATAGACAGGTAGATCGACAGATCGCTAGATCGCTAGATCGGTAGATCGGTAGGTCGATAGGTAGATAGATATATCGATAGGTAGATCTAAGATAGATAGTTGGATCGACAGATCGATAGATCGGTAGATCGGTAGGTCGATGGATAGATGGATAGATAGATAGATGGACAGAGATTAGACAGATAGGTAGACAAATAGATGGAGACGTAACGGTAGGTAGGTAGATAGGTAGGTAGATACAGGTGTATCTAAGTCAGTACAGCTTTCCCTACTTAATGTCTGTTGTATCCATGTTCGCTGCCAGGTGAGCACCTACTGCACAACAGTGTTGGTGCGGACGCAGGAGCGGACGGTGCACGTGGTGGAGCCAGAGTTCACTCCCCTCTGCCGCCCGAAGCAGATACCCCAAGCCCCAAAGAATTATACGTCATCCCAAACCCCCTAAGCCCTAAGCTTTAAACCCGAAATCCGAAACCCAAAGACCCTAAAGCACGAATGAAAACTGCAAAGCCGAGGTCACGTCGTCTACCTGGGCCTCGCTCGATTCATCCCCTTCTCCCTGCAGCTTCCAGCGTTGCGGCGCTGGGTCGGCGCTCTGGGCGTCAAGGCCTGCGGCCTGCGGATTTCGCTCTAGGGGCTTCTGAAACTTTGGGATATGGGGTGGGAGTTTGGGCTGCTACTATCACCGGCACTGCTGCCGCCAGCTCCAATTCCCGAAGAAGGTTTCTGAAAGAGGCAAGGATCGCTTGGCAGAAACGAATCTGGCCGACTATGTTCGGAAGCATGTTCAGGTGAACATACCACATTCTGCGCACACTTCCCAGAAGACACGGCTCATGGATCGCATACGCCTTCTATATTTTTGGCTCAAGATCTTTGGCTCTTTGCATCGAGATTTCGTGGCCGTGGTCTGAAGAACAGTCTCCGTCGTCATGGCCATCCAGTTGGTGCCGGCGATGGTTTTGCTCTTTTTCGTGGTGAGTGGCAGCGCCTTCCGTCCCGATCGACGTCAGGCGGGGGCTTGGCCCGATGACGACGCAGCACCCCAGTGGGGGCAGGTCGTGGATGCTATGGCTGCTAAGAAGGCCGGCAAGGCTAAGAAGGCAGCGACCTCGCAGAGCCAGCCCAGCCTGA